AAGTGACCTCCAGAGCTGCAATGGCTCCCTCCACCCCTCACCCCACACCCTTCTCCTACAGAAGCCCCTCAATTCCAGATCTCCCCAGCCAGATTTCCTGGTCCCCTGACCCACACAGCTGCCACTTGTCCTAAGTACCGGCCCACTTATGCCTATCAGCTGAGAGGAGAAGGCTGAGGAGGGCCAGGCCTTCCTTGTTCTCAGACATGCACAGAGCCAGCCAGGCCTGCAGGAGCATGTCAGGGAGGAGAGGACAGAGGCATCCCCTCCCGTCCCCCCAAGCACTGTGGCATCTGCTCCAGGAGCCCTAAGAATACGAGTGCAGTCGGCAAATGTTAACACCATCTCACTGATGGAGAAACTGAGGCCACGAAGTGAGGACATTTATGAAGAAGGACTGGGTGGGGGCAAGGGCTTTTGGGGAAGTCACTTCTACTTTGAGTCTGGGCCAGGAGGCAGTGCCTTGGTTAAGAGCTGGGCCCTGGTGTGAATCTCTAATCCTCTCCTTACTGTGTAGCTTTGGAGAAACCACTTAACCTCCCTGAGATTCATTCTTCTCATCTGTAAAATGGGGACTTGCCTCACAATTCAGTGAGATGTTGTAGGTAGAGCATGTAGCTCTGGACCGACTTGGTGCCCTGAGGTGGAAAAGAGGCATTGGTGAATCCAGGCAGGTGAAGAGATTGGGGGTATCACCTTTCTTTGCTGGGGTGCTCTTCCTCTAAACATATAGTTCCCAAGAAGCCTCAGATGGGTCCTTGTCAAGCTCCTCAGAGGTCCACTCTGGCACCTTCGGGCTCCTCCTAAGCTTCTGGGTCAGCACCTCTTTCACTGCCCAAGTATATACTGATCTCACTCTGCTAGCCCAGTGCTGGCAAAAGAGCCAGAAAGAACTCCCTCTGGGGCAGCCAAGCTGGTCTTTCCCTCCTGAGAGCCGCAAGTGCTATACAGCAGCGCCCTCTGCTGGCATATCTTGACAAGACACACACAGCTGATGTCTCCATGGCCCAGAATTTTGGACTGCCTAAGAGACAGACCCATTTCTACCTTTCAAAAGACAAGGAAATTGAAGTGTGGACCTGTCCAAGGTGAGTCAGCAGCACTGGAAGCAGAGGCTAAGCAGCCAAGTCTCCCAGCAGCTGCTTTGCCCCCACTTCAACACCACCCGTCTCTGTTTGCTTCAAATTGAGCAGGTGCTGGAAACACTACAATCCGAACATGCTCTGAATAGCCTTTCTCAAAGAATTGTCAATAAAAGAAGGAATCCTGCCCCAAACGAGAAACTTGAAAATCACCATATGCCCCTTGTTTTCCCATGAGACTTGGGGAAGGGCCCTCAGGGCTCCCATTACCTAAGGCCAGCACAGCTGTGATGCAGCAGGTACAAATGCCCAGAGAAGGCAGCGCATGCGTGTGTTCCCACTTCATTCATTCATTTGCACTTGATCATCAGTAATTACTGTTCACTTTCTCTGCGGCGGAGGCTGAGAATGCCCCCAAGGCCATGCACATCAGACAGGGCCTACCCTCCCTGAATCCCTGGGCATTGCAAAAGGACCCACACGGCGAGGGCTGGCAGGAGAAGCAGGGATGCCTCCAGAGGGGCAGCGAGGTCTTGACCTCGACCGAGGGGTCTGGAGAGGCCTCTGTGCAAAGGATGCTTCAGCTTAGGCCTGAAGGAGGTAGAAGTTGGCCTTGAGAAAGGCAAGAAGAGGAAGCTGCAAACCTCCCTCTGGCAGTGTGTCTCATGGGCAGATTCATGGCACACATTTGGAGATGGAGTCCAGTCTTTTCCTTCTGGAAAAGAGCCCACTCTCGCTCAGCTCCAGCTCATTAGCAATACAAGCAGTAGCTTTCTGGGCTCAGGAGGCCGTCCAGGGGCTGCCAGGGCCACTGCCAACTCAGGACCTTGCCTGCCAACTCAGAACCTTTCTTATTGGTCCCATGCTGACACGTGACTGAGGGAATGACAATCTGCCTGGTACTCATTAGGTGGTCCTCCTAAAGGGGGGCCTTGGCGAACTAGCAGCTTCCTACCTACAGACTTGCTCCAATGGTGAACTCACAAAAGAGCTACCCTTTGGAGACCTTCCATTTCTCATGAGTGTCCCAGCACCTTTGCTGAGCATGGCTGGGCACAGCCCGGGGACCCCACAACTCCGTGGCAGGCCCCTCGGCCCTTTTAGGATCAAGCGTCAGTAGTCAGACTCCATCTCACTTTGGAAGAAGGAGGCCTGGCTGGCCTAGCTGCTGCGTGATGGCCTAGACGATGTGACATGGATGTGCCGGTGGGAGAAGAGCAGGCCCAGCAGAGGCTCCTTCCTCCAGGCCATACCCCTCATCATTCTCTGCAATCCTGAGTGCCATGGTGTGTCTCTGCTGGAGACTAGCAGGACACCAGAGGACAGCGAGTCATCTTCCTTCTCAGAAGGAGGCCAGGGAGCTTCCACTGGAGCCCGAGCACCACCCCATTGCCAGGCCATGCTCCCTGTGAGCGTGGACTGCCAGCTAGACTGGCTGCAGGGCACACCTACAGACAGAGGCTTTAAGGGAGAGAGGACTGCCCCTCTTCTGGGCTGTCCCAGGGTGGATAGTGTGGCTGAGCCTGGGCCTGGAGGGAGCTAGGTCCCTGGAGAGCTGTCTCTGAAAGTTAGACACGACCCTGTGGGCTCCAGGTGCTGAGTGGGACCTAACTGGGCTGGCAATAAGCATCACTGCCCTAGGTTGGGACAGGGAAGAGAGAGTGCACGGCTGACTGGGGTCAGCAGCATCCGCTCAGTCCCAGGGAGGTGTGTGCATCCCACCAATTGCATTTCAGGAGGTGGATCTAGACAGGAAAGTGGGGTGGGGGGCAATCAGAGGGAACAAGAACAAACTCCAGGTTGTCCCTAGAATACCTCCACCACCTCACAGGCGGAGGGCTGATACTTCCTGACTGACAGGGTCTCATTTAACCTCACAGAAACTTGGTCTCCTCACCTCTGTTTTACAGGTGAACACAGTGAGGTTTCTCTTAGAGAAACAACTAGTAGGAGATACAGGTAGACCAAGTTTTATTGCACTTCACTTTATCGCTCTTTACAGGTGTATTTTTTACAAACTGAAGGCAAGACCCTCCACCAGTCGAAATATTAGGACTCGCTTTGTTGCAGTGGTCTGGAACCAAATTTGCAATATCTCTAAGGTACACAGATACACATGTACGTAACATAACTGTGGGGTCTGGCTGGGCAAGGCCGAAATTTGGAAGGCAGGCCGGCGGGCTGGAAACTGGCAGGCATGTGTTTCCGTAGGGGGAGTTTCCTCTTCCTCAGGGTAATCTCTATTTTGCTCTTAAGGCCTTTCGACTGACTGGATGAAGCCCACCCACATTATCCAGGACAAGCTCCCTTACTTAAAGTCACCTGGTTGCAGGTGTTAACCACAACTACAAAACACCTTCGCAGCGACACTTAGATTAGTATTTGATTGAATCACCCGGGACTGTCTCCTAGCCAAGTTGACACGTAAAACTGACCATCAGTGGTGTGTACTCACAGCTGCGGCAAGGAGGAAGTGGGGCTGTATGTAAAGCCCTCAGCATGAACTTGAAGACATCCTCAGGGCAAGGTAGCTCTGACGTCCATTTGCTTGTCTGAAGCAATCAGGTAGAGAGGTTGGGGTGTGCGTGTGCGTGTGTTTGGGGGCAGTAGGGAGTGTTTCAGCCAAGATGGCAGAACAGGGTTTGGGGCCTGCATGTCTGCAGGGTGTAGGGGCCTGGGGAGAGAGCACTGGGGGAGGGGGAATGTTTGTGGATTCTGGGAGCTGCAAGGCAGGCAATTCCAGAGGTACAGTGTGCTATCTGGCCATGGGGACCTTCCGCCCAGGCAGCTCTCAGAGGAAATTTCCAACCTAGCCTCACCCCTCCCGAAGGCCTGGCCAGGGCCAGGCGGAGAGTTTTTAGGGCTCTGGAAATTCCCACCTGGCGGGTGTGCCCTCAGCAGGGGCTGCGTCAGGACCTTGGACTCTGGACTCTGGGTGTGGTCTCCCCAGAACTCTCCACTGTGACAGTCAAGTCTTTGGGAATAAGCTGAAATCTGTCCTTACCCAGATGAGCCTACAACTTAGGTGTGATGACTTTCATCTCCTAATTTGGGCCAGTTTTCTAAAAGATTCACATCTATATGATATGCACACACATTATATACACCAAACATACAGGCATTTTCCTCACCTAGGAATGAAGGTCATGATAACACCCACCTCACAGGGCTGCTGTGAGGAGTAAGCCCAGGACAGCAAGTGGGGCATTATTTCAATGTTTAGGAAATCTTGGATGTTATTAATAACTGATATTTATTTAGAGCTGGCTTGTAGTCTACCCTTGGGTTGGGCACTGTCCACATTTTATTTCAGTTCTTTGTGAATAGGTGGGTTCTGAAACCTGGGTGCCACGGGGAGGTGTGGGGAGCAGCCAGGGAAGTGTCCCTAACCTTTAAAACTGGCATGGAAAGTTGTATGTCCTGTATGCTTTGTAGCAAAACTGTCCATGGCTTTCAACCAGCTCCTCAGAGAATGAAGAACTTCTGGTTTAGTTGATAGTTAGACATTTGTTTAGAAATTATTTCAGCACTGTTTTAGCTCAAAAGAGGATGTGTTTTCACAGGTAAATAATCTACTTCCCGACCTTGGATAAAGCATCCCTTCCTCCCTCTTGTAATGAATGAACTTTGCAAAAATGTCCCTGCAATCATTTCCAGTGTCAGACGCAATGTGAATAATTACAGGCACGGGCGAGCACCTTCGCCCCACAGAGCCGAGGTTCTGCAGCTGGCAAGAGAGAGGTCGCCGTTAGAGGAGAGGGCCCAGGGAACCCTCTCCTGGCCTTGGCGCCTCGGGGCCCGGGGAGTGCGGTGGCGCGGGGCGCACCATCGCGCCGCCTGCGTGCTGCGCCTTTAAGGTCCGCTGGGGGCGTGCTGTCAGCTGCCCGCGGGCCGGGGGAGAGGTGAGCGCCGCCGCCCGGTTTGGCGTCGGACCTTCGTGCGCTCCGACTCTCCGCGGCCCTCCCCGGCGCGCCCCTCCCGGGGGCCATGCCCCGCACACGCTGAATGGGCACCAACCCGGCTCCGGGCGGGCGTGGCGCCGCGGCCCCGGCCATGGGCAGCTTCCAGCTGGAAGACTTTGCGGCAGGCTGGATCGGAGGTGAGGCCACCATGGATGGGAGGGACCCCCCCTGAGAGGCGTGAGTGCTTTCGGGAGACCCCCGGGCCTGAGAGGCAGAGAGAGAGAGGCGGGCCAGGTGCCGCGAGGGCCGAGTTTGCACCCCGGGCTCCCGGCAGGCTGCTCTGCGCCCCGGCTTCCCGCCCGCGCGGTGCGCGCCTCCTGCTGCGGGCAGAGCTCGAAGCACAGCGCCCCAGGGGTCTTGCGTTCTCCGGCTGCCGCCCGAGTAAACTCTTCGAGCCTCACAGAGGTTCACCTGAGCTTCCGATTTGCCTCCAAGTTAGATTCCGCGGAGCTTGATCCGGTAATGATTAAGCCACACGTCCAAGCGGACAGCCAATGGAGCGTCCCGGCGCTTACACAACTTTCGGTGACCGGGTGCGCACCTGAATTTGGGGACGTGGCTCGCAGGAACTTGTGGGTGAGGGTGGCGCTGTCCTCTGGCCCCGGGAGCAGGATGGGGAGGCCGACTTTGTGATCAGGCTGGTCTTAGGGGGCGCCCTGGCTGGAAGGAGCGGAGAGAGGAACGCTTGCTGTCTGCAGCCCCGGTCAACTCTCAGGTCCCTTCTCGTGGCACTATGCTTCGGGAGCTCTCTCTGCCGGCCCCGGGATGAGTTTGCTTGGTCAGGACTTTCATCCATTTCCTTGCGTCTCCATTCTTCTCTTCCCAATAGGTCTATCTTTCCCCTTCTGGCAGCTCTTGGTGGAGGCGTGGGAGGAGGGTTTGAGGGACTTTCTCCATTCTTCTCTTCCCAATAGGTCTATCTTTCCTCTTCTGGCAGCTCTTTGGTGGAGGCGTGGGAGGAGGGTTTGAGGGACTTAATGTGAAATAATATTTCTTTTGGCCCCATCTAAGAGAACCATCAGGATGTCGGCAGACACAGCCTCTCCCCAAAGACCAGATAAAGTACTTAGGTGCAGAGGCAGAGACTATGGCATGTTTGTGCCCCACCAAAGATTCTAAGTATGGAGGAGACCAGGAAATTTGTAGGAAAAGGAAAACAAAAGCAAAAGAGCAGCAAGCTAGATAGCATCCCGGATTCTTCCCCTTCTGGGGCGCCCCTCCCGCCTGGCGGGAGTCCAGGGCTGCCCACCCACAGGTGGCTGCAGGGTGCCTGCTTCTCACCCGTTCTGAGCAGAGGTGGTTCCTTTCATGGTGGGCAGTTCTGTTGGCACAGACTCTCGGGTTGGATTGAGACCTGTGTCTCCTAATTTTCCCAGCCAGGGGGTTGTGCCTGGAGGCCCACTGGACATCTCTAGGCTGTCTTTGGACAACCCCTCAGCCATTCCAAGGGAGAGCCTTCCCTCAGCTGTTTCCTTAAGTAGCCAGACCAAGGTCAGTAGGGCTGCCAGTGGCTTGGTTTAAGAAATAGCCTGGAAGATAAGGCTGTCAGAGGAGTTCGAATTCTCTGACAACACGGAGACCTTCCCCAATTCACACAGCAAGTAGTGGATTGTCCCTTATTCTGTAATTGTTTTTACTTTGTTGATGTTAACCATTTTTTTTTTCTATTAGATGATGACGAACGTAGTAGCAGTCAATTCTTAGTGGGTACCACATGCTGTTTAAGTGCTCTAAGTATATTTTTAAAACAACTTTCTTAAGGTTATTTTACATATAATAAAATTCACCCATTTCAAGTGTACAATTCAATGATTTTTAGTAACTTTACCAAGTGGTGCAACCATTACCATAAATTAATTTTGGAACATTTTCACGCCCCAGTAAGATCCCTCATGCCCATTTACAGTTAAACTCCATCCCCTCCTTCTCCCTCTGGACAACCACTAATCTACTTTCTATAAATTAGCCTTTTCTGGACATTTTATATAAATGTATTTATAAAGTATGTGGTATCTTGTGTCTGATTATGTATATTTCTTCATAACCTCAGAGAGGTAGCTACTTTTATTACATTCCCGTTTTACAGGTAAGGAAGTGGATACATAGAGGAATCCGATGACGTGCCCAAGGCCATGCATCTAGCATGAGCACTGGGATTCCAACCTGGGCAGTCTGGTACCAGGGCCATTTTAACCCCTGTACTCATCTATAGCTGTTTTCTTTCTTGATGACCTTGCATGATAAAATTTCACCATTTTAAACAAAATTCACATTTGGTTTGAAATTTTACTGGTTAGTGAAGTTTTAAGGTCTGGAAACCACTGACCTGATAGTCTGATGTCTTACCTTGCATCTTTGCTTTTACATGGGTGGGCCAATGAGTGAGCAGGGAGACACTGGTCCAAGGTTGGATCTGGGGTGCTGCCCTGGCCTGAGGGATGCCTTTAGTGAAGGAGGCACTCACTAGGGGGCCAGCAGCTGGGGCCTGAGGACCAGACTCCTTCCTTCCCCTGCTGGGAGGGGTTCTTATGAAGTGAATGCTCCCGCTGCCCACTGCCCATCACCTTTCTTCCTCTGTCCAGTTCTGTGGGAAAGAGGAGCTGAGAGGGGTCTGGAGGTTCCAGACCAAGGAAATGTTTGCTGTGGGGTTAGCTGGGTTCTCGACCCCTGTAAATATCTAGTATTTTAGGCCCCCCTCACCTGCTAGCAGAGACCCTCTCTCACCAGTGTGATGGGGAATTTGTCTTAGGAGAATGACTCCTGATTCAATCTCACAGTCACTCTTCTGCAACAAGAGCTTCTTAATCCACGTGAACTCAGGGTGGTCTTGCTTCCTGCCAAAATGGTGCAGTCCTTGTGAGTGTGGGCAGATGGGCATTTTTCTGTACAAAGATCCAGATCATCCATCACCTTTTGGAAGAGGCCCCCCTTTTTTAAAAAATAAAAAACAATAGCAATAGCATCTCTTTTTGAACGTCCTATAAGTACCAGGCTCTCTGATGGTACTTTACATTCATTACTCATTTCATTCTTACAATGGAACCGTAAGGTAGGTGCTAATATTATTCCCACCTACACACGCTAAATATGAGGGGTACAGATGTAACCTGTAGGTAACTGAAAAGTTTCTGGGTTTTTGCTTTTCGCCTTCCTCCCTTTTTCGAGGTGGAATTCACATAACAAAATTAACCATTTACAGTGTACAATTAGTGACATTTAGTACATTCACAGTGTTGTGCAACCAGCACCTCTGTCTAGTTCCAAAACATTTCCTCATGTCCAAAGAAGTCCCTGGACATGACTTTAAGCAGTCACTCCCATTTCCCCTCCCCCAACTGCTAATCTGCTCTCTGTCTCTATGGATCCATCTCTATTCTGGATAATTCACATAAATGGAACCATACAATATGTGACCTTTTTTGTCTGGACTCTATCATCTACATAATGTTTCCAGCATTCATCCACTCTGTAGCCTGTAGCCGTACTTCATTCCTATTTATGTCTAATAATATTCCATTGTATGGATACACCACATTTTATTTATCCATTCACCCAGTGATGGACATCTGGGCTATCTCCACCTTTTGGCCATTGTGGATTGTGCTGCTATGAACATGCATGTACATGTACTTGTTTGAGAGCTTGTTTTCCTTTCTTTTGGATATATACCTAGGAGTTGAATTGCTGAGTCAGATGGTAATTCTACGTTTAACTTTTTGAGGAACTGCCAAGCTGTTTTCCACAGTGGCTATACCATTTTACATTCCCACCAGCAATGTATGAGGGCTCCAATTTCTCCATATCTTCCCCAACACTTGTTATTGTCCTTTTTTGATTTGTTTTGTTTAAACTATAGCCATCCTAGTGGGTGTGATTGGGAATCTAGTGATTTCGACTTGCATTTCCCTAGTGACTAATGATGTTGAGCACATTTTCATACACTTCCTGGCCATTTGTATATCTTCTTTGGAGAAATGTCTATTCAAGTCCTTTGCCCATATTTTAAAAAAAAATTAAGCCTAAGAGTTCTTTATATATTCTGGATACTAGACCCTTACCAAATATATGATTTGCAAATATTTCCCCTCATTCTGTAGGTTGTCTTCACTTTCTTGATAGTATAATTTGATGCACAAAGTTTTAATTTGTTTATGACAGTCAATTTATTTTTTCATTTGTTACTTGTGTTTTTGGTATCTAAGAATCTTTTGCAAGTCTAAGGTCATGAAGATTTCCCCTATTTTTGTATATGATTTTTATAGTTTTAGTGTTTCCTTTTAGGTCTGGTCTATTTTGAGTTAATTTTTGTACATGATATGAGGTAGGGGGTCTAACTTCATTCTTTTGCATGTGGGTACCCACGTGTCCCAGCATCTTCATCACCCTTTATTGGGGTGCTTTGTTTCTTGAGGCAGATCCCTAGTTTACTTCATTTTCTCTTGCCTTCTTTAATGCCTGAGCCTGTGCCTCACACATTGGGGGTCCTCCCTGGCAACTGGGCATTGACTAAAAAGACGAATATAAGCCTGAGCCCTCTGTCCTGTCCCAAGCACCAGCAGGTGCAAGCCAGGAGTCCAGGGGCTGAGTGACGGAGTATTCTTCTTCAACCTACAGGTGCAGCCAGTGTCATTGTCGGCTACCCTCTGGACATGGTCAAGGTACAGTAGCCATGTTTGTCATTACTTCTTGGAAATGGGCCTGGAGTGAGTCTGCCTCCAGAACTATGCCTGCTGTTTCTGATCCCCAGGGAGCGTCCAGCCCAGGGCAGGCTCTCTGTGCCAGCTCGGGGGATGTGGGGCCAGGAAGCCTGGTTTGGAATGGCTCTACCCTCATCACTTGGCAGTGATTTTGTTTTTGTGAATGTCTCATTTCTGCCTCCAGGTTCTCAGGAACTGTGGGGGAGGCGGTCAAGGCACTGGGGAGTGTCTTCCTATAAGTCACTGTGGAACCAAGGAACCAGGAAAGGCTTCAAGTGTGAGGTGGCATCTGAGCCCAAAATTTAAGGTTGGGTTTCGAGTGATTAGAAAAGCTATTTCAGGCACAGAAAACAGCATTGGCGAAAGCACTGAGATGGGGACACGTTGTGATGCCCACTTGGGAAAGGCTGGCATGGCTCCATGCTGACACATCAGATTTCTGACAGCGGCTGCAGATCCAAATCCAGAAAAGGGAGGTTAGCACTCAATCCTTGGAGGCTGCGGGCATCGGGGCAGGACTCTGGACCTGGGCAAGGGATGGGACTCCGGAGCCAGCGAAGCCATTGGGCATGGGGTCATTTAAGCTCCTTGTTTTACAGATGTAGAAATTGCCTCAGGTCACATAATAAGTTAAAGCATCAAGGAGTGAGACACTACGAAGAGATAATCTTTGACTTCACTCCCATCCCTGCCACCTGTCCCCAGTGGTGAGTGGGACTCAGAGCCACACCCTGAGAACATGGCCACAGATAGTGACTTCCAGATCTGCATCTAAAGCTCTGCAGGGATTGCACACCAAGAGAAACCTCAAAGGCCTTTCTCAAGTGGCTGTGGCCATCTCCTTTCTCCTTGTCTTCCTCCCCGAGTAACAGGGGCCCCCTCCTGGGTCATGGCCTAGGCCTGCTCTCCTCTTCATGGAGAGGTCAGCCTACTTGTCTTAAACAGTTGAAGATATATCCTGGCTCTTTGTGCCCCTCATACGGGCCCGGCCTTTTTCTCATACAGCAAATGTATACTGGACACTTTCTCTGTGCAGGCACCGTGGGGATGGCAAGGTGTTGGTGGTGGACAAAGCAAGTGTAACCCCTGCCCCGGGCAGCCTTACAGCCACATTCCTGATGCATGTGACCTTTGTGTCTTCCTGGGACTGCATCCTTCCCTTACCTCCAGCCTGGCCAGGAGCTGGTGGAGCTTGTTGGAGCTACCACTACCTCTTTGGACGGGCAAGTCTGGCTATCCCGGGTCTGGCCACATGTCACCTGAAAAAGCGGGAGCTCTCCTTCTTCACTCTGCCCCCGGAGCCACTGGAGGAAACCCTCCCGATAACTAAAATCCAGTCTCTACTCAGCCCAGGGGTGTGTCCCAGGGCCCTTGTTTATTCCCAGAACATCCTCCTTCCTTTCTGCCTTCTGACTGTCATTTTCTCTAGAGTCCTTGTCCACTGAGAAAGAGCTTCGGAGTCAGAATAAACTGGAGTCCAGTCCCAGCCTCCCCACCTACTCTCCTGTGACCAGGGCACAGCACTAACCTTCCTGAGCCTTGATGTCTTTGTTTATTAAATGGGCAAAGAATACCTCCTAGGGCAGCCGTCATGGAGATCATCACTGTGGCACTGAGGATAGAGCAATGAGCGGGCCATTCCCATCCTGATGCACATACGTGCTGGGATGTGTCCGAGGTCCCAGGGCTGGCCCATGGGAGAGTCAAGCTAGAAGGACCTGGGCTGCTGAGTTGGGTCAAAGGTTCCTTCCCCTGCCTGCGGCTGCCTCATCACAGGTGGGAGAGCCAGCCACTGGATGCTTGGTGGCAGTAGAGCCAGGATCAATATTCTCACCTGGCTCCTGGCACAGCTGGTACATTTAGGGTTTAGGCCTGATGCAGTATGACCAGCTTTCTAATCAGGGCTCAGCTGCCTTTAGACCAGCTAGCAAACTGTGAGAGAATAAATTTGCATGGTTTTAATCCTTAAGTAATTTGTTACAGCAGCAGCAGGCAACTAATACAGGGAGTTGGCTTTCTTCATCTGTCAAACAGGGCTAGTATCCATGCTACATAGCATTTGAAGGGTTCAGTGAGATAACTTCTATAAGATGTCCTGTGTTTCCCCATGTATACATTTGGTGCACACTGAATGCCAGCTCTTGTTGTAGCTGGAGGTCCTGGAGGCTTGAGCTGTGCTGCTGGCCTTGGTGGCCGCCTCCCAAGTGCTTAGCACAGCTGGCAGAACTTTGCTCCCTGGCTTTGAACCTATTCTGTGATCTGGGTGGCGTGCCCTCATGTACCATTTGTTTGAGTGACTTGACCACTCACCCTTCTTAGTGGGAACGTGATCCTTCCTGGGGCTCAGGCATTTTGTGGGTTCACTCCCCAGGGCCAGCTCCAATAGGGCTGGAACCAGCACAGGAGAGTGGCCAGCCTCAGGCCAGCCTTAAATGGGGCAGAGAGAGGCCTGTGCCCTGACCCACCCTGGCCCACACCCATGCCCTGGTTGGGGATGCCACAGCCCAAGGTAGACCTCTGTGGTTCTGCTTGGCTAGAAGACCCGAAGGCCCAGTTCTTACCTTGAAGCATCTTCCAGGGCCTCTTCTGTATCACCCAGCCCTTCTGGTCCTGGGTGGTTAATTTTTCTCTGTGGCACCTGCCATCTGACACACGTATTTACATGGGAATTGCTTTTTATTGACTGTCTTTTCCAACTCCACTGGGTTTAAGTTCCATGAGGTCAGGGAGTTTGTTTACTGCTGAATTCCTGAAGACCGGAACAGTGGCTGCTGTAAAATAAGAACTCAGTAAAATTGATTAAGAGTTAATAAATACATTTCTCCGATTATGAAAGTAATATTTATAAACAGTGCAATACCATTTATGTATCATACCTATAGGAGTACTACATATTTCCTCTGGCTCTCCAGCCGTATCAAACTGTTTAGATGAATGCCTATAACATGGCTAAACTTTTAGCCATGTTATTCTCTCAGGGGAGAGGGCAGGTGAGAGAGAGAGGTGGGCCAAAGGAGACTCTAGCTTTATATGTAATGTTGGCATTTTTTTATTAAGAGAATGTAGTCCCATATTAGTTGTCTACTTAAATATTTTAATTACATAAGCTAAAAATGACCAAAGGAATCCCTGCTTACTGTAGAAAGATGGAAAATGAAGAAAAGTTCAATGCAGAAAAACGACCCCTGACTTTTACCTCAGAGGCCATCACTTTTATGATGTGTGTTCTTCCAGAGTCTTCTCCACTTGTCTACAGATGGAGCTCAGGCTGTGAGCGTGAAGCATTAGCCTGTACCCTGGGCCTTAGCTCCTCTCAGGACCCTGGGTTCGGGAGTGGGAGCAGGCCCCACATTTCCTTCTCTGTGGCCCTCACGGCCCCTTCCTCGCAGGCACGGCATGCCGTGGGTGCTGGGAAACTGTTTTAATGGAGAATTATAGGCTGCACCTCTTAAAAGAAGCGGAACCCTCTGAGAACAGGGTAAAGGGAGCCCTGGGCACGTTGTGGGCTTACTCAGACCCTCTGTGTCCTTGCGATGGCCCTTATCACCAGAGCCAGCCTCTGTTAGAGTACAGCACGCCTTCACCATCCGGCCCCCTATTCGGCCAGTACCAAGGGGTCATGTCCAGGGCCCCACTTGGCTCCAGGACAAGAGGGAAGTAGGAGACAGCCCTGCCCTAGGGGAGGCGCCCCCATAAACCCTAAGTAAACAGAAAACAGATGACACCACCGCAACATTTAAGCTCAGACTAAAAGCTGAGCAGCAGCTAGAGTTAGAACCTTCTGAGGAAGGAGCAGGGGTGGAGGCAGGAAAGAGCTGATCCTCTGGGGACTGAACATGTGCCACATGGTGGTACGGCGGTAGGGGGATGGAAGGAATGGCAGGGTGGAGTGAGGCAGGCTCTGGCACTCACCCAGAGCCTCCTGGGCCCTGGTAAAGAGTGTGGAATTTATTCTAAGCTGATAGGAAGCCACCAGAGAACTTTAAACAACACAGAACCGACTCATTGCTGTTTAGAAAAGACCAGTCTAACTTGTGTCAAGGAGTGAGGGGGACGCAGGAGGCCGGCGAGGAGACTAGACCATTGTCCAGGTGAGGGATGAAGGGTTCTCTAGGTGAGAAGAGCAGACCACTCCCAGGGATATCTAGAAGGCAGAGTGATGGACAGAAGATTGGTGAGATCCATGCGACAGATTACCTTTTCGTACTCAAGAGGCAGGGAACATATGTTCCCAAACAAGCATCATTTTTGCTCGACAAACTGGCCTTTGTTCTTCTTTCAGACCAAGAGGGTTTCTGCTGTATTTAGGGAGGTCTGAATGGGACATTGAGGGAGACAGTGCAGGTTGAGGACAGAGGGCCATCCAGGCCAGGACTGAAACCCAGTCTTCCTTCCTGGCTCAGTCTCCTCGGGCTGGTCCTTTCCTGCTCTGGGCCTCAGTACTGGCAGCTCAACGTCTTGGGGGCAGTGGGGATGTGAAGCGTCTCACACCTTTGCCTGTTTCTTCTCAGACTCGCCTGCAGGCCGGGGTCGGCTATGGGAACACCTTCAGCTGCATCCGCACCGTGTACAGGAAGGAGAGTGTAAGTGCCCCTCCAGAGGGTGGCTGGATCCATTCCTGCCAGGGCCTCTCACGAAACGGGGCAACCCTCCCTCCTCC